TGGTATTTATTGTTCTTTTGCTCAAGATTTCTCTTTTAGTGTACTTCTTTAGCTGGCCGGAGATTTTAAAGTGTGCCTACTTGGAAAACCAACGAGCGACCAGTCAATTATGAAATCAAATGCGTATCCTCAATTTTGATCATCATCAATACTGATTTGGAAATTGACCGCGTGTCATGCGCCGGGCGGTCCAGAAACGTGTTGCACTAATAGTACTAGTGTGTCATTTTCGTTAATTGATGTGATGATCAGAAAACAACATGAAACTAACGATAGTTTTCAGTCTCTAATTCCGTATCACATATAGGAACTTATAACGTACGGCTCAGTACTGTACTGACAAACTCATAGGAACCTTCGAGGAAACTTCTCTCGTGAGGTAGGAGAAAGAGAACCTTGAAGGTTTGGCCGGTCACTGATATATCCTTGTGGGCGTGAAAACTAGCCTCAAATAAAGATATAAGACCGTCACTCTTCAACTAGTCAATCAAACTCCTTAAACATTATTCAAAAACCAAATTCAATATCTACCCCAAGCACTACCTCGTATTAGGTATTTGTTTATTTCGAGTAGTTAGAATCTGCAGGCGCACTCAACGGACAGGTTTTAGTTGTTTTTTCGAGGCCTAAACCAAGTAGATTATCTCCAAGTTTAAGTATGTTTCTACATATTAATAATGCTACATAAGTCCCTTAAGTTCAGCAACAATTTTTGAAACTAATTGCGCCAATCCTTGTGTCACTATGCTTGTATATAGTTTGATATTCCGACACTCTTAACATTTTTTCTTGTCCTTTTCACTACAACAAAAAAGCTTATTTGCGACGACTGAATGTCGTCGCAAAAGAGTACGTTGTCGTCAGTAATGTTATATTTGTGATGACTTGTTGTCACAAATTAGTCGCTGCAAATAATATATTTGCGACGAAAAAGTTTTGAGATGTCGTCGCTAATACATTAGTGAATAAGTCGTCACGAATGTTCCATCAAACTTATCGTTGATGATGACGTGTTCAATTATATTTGTGACGACATATGTCGTCGCAAAAGGGTTAGATCTCGTCGCTAGTGATTTAGACTATTTGCGACGACTTTTTTCAGATTTATCGTCGCAAAAAATATTTTCTTTTTTTTCCCTAATTTCCTAATAATATTAATTATTAATATATAAATTAGAAGAAAATTTAATAATAAAATAAATCAATAAAATTGATATTTTCTAATAAAAGATTCATATAAAAAAGTCAACACAATAATAACATAAGTCTTAAAGAGTAAATTAATCAATCCATACAAAAAAGTATTGATAATAAGAAAAATAAAAACATATATTTTAATCTCCTAAATTATCCGCATCGTCGTCTTCTTCATTTCCCTCTTGCGGCGGCGGTGGACGAACCCATGGTTCAGGACAATTAAGTGGCAAGAAGTTAATATTGGGATTCATCGTGCGCATGGCTTTTATTATCATCTGTTGGTTGTTGAACACTTTGCATTGCTCAACATAGATGTTGTTCAGCCATGTTTGGACATGCTAGGGCAAATTAATCGACGACGACCCGTCCGATTGCGAAGCAGATGATGAGGTGGAAACGCTTGAACGATTCCTCCGTGGCAATGTCGGTCCCACTCTCTTAGTGTGTCATCTGCGCTTGCCCAAGACTTGGGACATAATCCTCTCCTGAGTGATCGGCGTGGATGAACCTTCGCCAGCAGACTGTGTCATCTGCGTGGTTCTTTCCCTCTCCATTTGAGCCTGCAGAGGTAAAGGAAATAAAAATGAATAAAAATAGTATAATATGTTATGTTAAATATGAAAAAAGAAATAATTTTAAAATTTATGTACAAATGCCTGTTTTGAGTCCGGGTTGACAAAATTCTGCCCATGACGGTGCATGCCACCCCAATTGTCAATTAATGATCCTAGCTCATGGGTCTCGGGATTTCCCTAATCAAGTTGAACGTGTTAGAATAATTATTAAGCTAAAGTGAAAAAACTTAACAAGTATGCAAATTAAAATTGCCTTATCGAAACGACACTGCGAGTATGACTTTCTACTATGGAAGCTAGACCACTTTTGATTGCCATGGTTAATAATTATTTTAGTAATGATCATATATGAATTAGTAACATACTTAATATTAAAGAAACCAAGTAATCAAAAGTAAGAAAACATAATACCTGGCTAACTACTTTGGTTCTATTCGTCGTCACTACGAATGTATCCAATTGGCATCTTAACTATAAAAATAATAACACATCTAATCATACTTCATGTTTTCTTGTGACTATATAATCACGTTCATAAAGGTTTAACATGTCATGTTTCAATTTATAAGTTTTATCAAATTTTATGAACAATTTATTTTTTTATTATTCCACTCATAATGTTTATAATTAATTTTTAATTTTGTCTATATTAATATAATTAATTATTATTAATTAAATTCTTAAAATTAATAGGTTTTAATAAAGTTTCGGCATCATAACTACATATTTTTCTTATTATTCAAAAATTCAAACCTGTAAAAAATAACTTTTAAAAGATTTTGACACACCATAACTGCAAGATGTGCCACCCCGAACAATTATCAAAACTTTTAATCTCAACTTAAATCAAATTATAATCTTAAAATTTCAACAATCTCAAAATTCAAAATCTAAAATTCAATCTATAATCCAAATTTCAAATTATATACTAATTCTAAAATCTATAAATTAAACTTCAAGATTTAAAATCCATAATTATACACAATTCAAATAATAAAAAACTCACTAAAAACGGCAAGATAAACGGGGGCAAAAGGCGGCGGCGGCGGTGGACTTTGACGGTGAGATTTTGGGGTTTTTTGGATGAAAAAACAAATGAAACTTATAATTTTGTTGATTTTGAAGAGAATATAAGGAGATTTTGAGAGGTTGGGGTCAGAAAACCGGCGAAAACCGGTGAGAGGCCGAGAGAGAGAGAGAGAAGCTGATCGAAAAAAATGGAGGAAGAGGCTCTACTCGTGGGCATATAGCAGAGTTTTTTGTGACGACAGAAAAGAATATTTGCGACGACTGGTCGTCACAAATATAACTTAAAATTATTTGCGACGACACCTACATTATTTGCGATGACACATGTTGTAGAAGGAAGGTTCTGGAATTATTATTTGCGATGACACCTATAATGTCGTTGCAAATAATTTTTGGAGACACGCCCAATTTTCCTGCCTTTTATTTTATTGAGGGAATACAAAATCACTTATTGCGATAACACACATTAACGTCGTCACAAAAAAATTGTGTCACCCGCCAAAATAATCTTTTTTGCTCGGGGGAAAATAAATAAATTAAATTTTATTTGTGATGACATTTGTCGTCGCAAATAGTTGATTAGTTGCGACGACATTTGTCGTCGCAAATAATGTTATTTTGGCACTAAAAGTTTGCACCAGACGAGATCTTCCGCCAAGCAAATATTGCGACGACGTGTGAGTTTTTTTGCGACGACAACATTTTTCAGTTTTACGAAAGTTTTTACGACGACATGTGACCGTAAATAGTTAATTTGTTACGACGATATGTCGTCACAAATAATGTTATTTTGGCGCTAAAAGTTCGCGCTAGACAAGATCTGCTGCCAAGCAAATATTTGCGACGACGTGTGAGATTTTTAGCGACGACAATATTTTTCAGTTTTACGAATGTTTTTGTGACGACATGTCGCCGCAAATATTTATTTATTTGCGACGACAATTGTCGTCACAAATATTTTTGTCGCACATAGCCCAAATTTTAGTAGTGTTTCTTCTTTCATTTTGTGTAGAGAGCAGACAAGATCTCTCTAGCTACTTGATAAATATAATATAGTTTATTTAAGTAATCGGTATTTACATACAATATTAAAAAAGCCAGTGGAATTTAGGAGATTCTCCGGTATGCCTCGTGTACCAGTAGATTAAGTTTTTTAACTATTGGATTTGTGTACTTTTTAATTTTTACTTGATTTTATGCAGAATTGATGAACAAAAACTTAACCTACCATTATGTTAACATATGAGAGAAAGTCCCGTGAAATTTACGCATAAATTAATTTCTAACTTTTTTAGTATAGAATGTTTTGTGTTCATCCTAAAACATTCTAATTAAATTGGCACATTTAACCGTCCATTCTACACTAAGAACCAACTCTAACTATTATTAAAAGAAAGGAAAAACAAAAAGAATATTTCCAGAAAGCATAACAGAAAACTAAAGAAAATAAAAAATAAAAAATAAATCACACTCAGAGGATCTATGAAAGGATGCCTCATTAGAACCTCACAATGGAAAAAAATTTGAACCAAATTAAAATCCGAACAAAGAGAAAATAGTGCATGAACGAAAAAACCCAAGTGAGAAGAACTTGAAAAAATCAGTTTATCTGTAGAATTCTTTTCAATCTCCAATCAAAGTTTTATTTATTTAGGGCTAGCGAGGCTAATTTGTCCGTAGTCTGAGATCTTCTCGAAAAATATATAAATAATCTGAATTGCCATAAGCCAGCCAAGATTATATTAGCTATATATATAGATATAAATATATACACACACAGTTAAATGATAATTATAAGGCAGTACAGTTGAAGATGTATATTCCCACACAGTACAGATGTTCCAATATTATATCGCCAATATTTGATCAGTGCAATAAATTCGGTCTCTATTTATCTACTTATTTATTTTTTGCTTGAGAGATCAGATATACCAGCATCATCATGAATGAAAGGATAGTTTGTACATTCATAAACACGTGTGACTGATATACAAACATCTTTAAAATTGACCTCGTTAACACTAGAAAAGAGCTGATCAAACATTGGCGAAGCATATCTCTGGCTTTACACAAAGTGCCAAAGTTGCGAAGGTAGAAAGAAATTTCCGTTGGCACAGAAGAATCACAAGCCAATATTACTGTTTCAGCTGCTTATATATATGCATATAAGATTGCCAATTCCAAATCCGCATACGCTCTTGCAATGTGTTTTCTTGCTATATAATGTCTGTAACTCTTTTCTTGCGTCTCCAATATGGAAACTTCTCTTTGAAGATGGTCTTCTACTTGTTTACGCCATGTTTGAAATTGACTACCACTGCATGGACGTAAACGCAATTAAAATATATGTTCCTGCTGCATAGTAGAGCATGCTTATTCGTTGGTATCCACAACAGTTTTACAGCACTAAGATGTGAGCTTTTTACTACATATTATAATATATGTATTGTGTTACTAACAATGTATTATATTATATTTTTTACTGCATCATTAACTTTCCCTGCAAAATTCTCTCTCACTATTAATGTAAACCCCGTTTCAAGTTCTACTTCCTTTTCCATTGTCTTTAACTTAAAATAGTCACATGTGTGTACGTACACACACCATAAAATTAGTAGGTTATAAATGCAGTAGAAATTATATTTGTATAATTATGACCAAATTAACATGACTCTTTTGTTTGATCTCTCGAGTCTCTCGATTTCAAAGTCCGTACTCTAATTCACAGTAAACATTCCAAGCCGATCTACTAAAAGTGTTTGGCAATTATTATTCTAACTTTAGTTATGCGCGCATATATATACATATACATACATAAATATATATATATATATGTATGTGTGTGTGTGTGTGTGTATGTATGGAAACACACACTGTATTTGTTGCCATTTTTTCATTTCGTCTTATGCATACTCAAATTAAATATTAGTCTAGAATTTATTATTCCCCAATTTTTACTCCAACTTTCTTGCATTGTTTTCTCTCAATTACAAACTTAATAGAGATCATCTTTATATATGGCCATCCATGCTCCCACATGAAGCATCAGAAGTTTATAACCAGACATGGTGCAGTACGCATATTTACACACATACAATATAACACACACACACACACAATAAATGGTCATGTTTTCACAGTTAACTTCTATTTCTTTCAGCTGAAACATCTTTTTCATTATTATTATTTTTTTAAATCTTTTGCTGGTTTTTACAGTGAAGAAATTATCTCCATCGTTAATTATGTCAAAGCACGTGGCTGCTAGTTGCTGAGGGGTCAGAAATTGGTTAACAGAAAAGGGCTTTTCAAGGTACAAAGAGATACTTAAGCACATGAATACACGCACATATATACACAGATGCATATATATATATATGTATATATATATTATATACATATTCTTTTGCTTCTTTTGGTATATATGTATATATATATTATACACATTATCACTTCAAAAAACTGTACTCCCAGTTTGGTTTGGTATATCAATTTCTCTGTCTATATATATTAGCTAGCCAAGCATCCACGGATCCTTACTAATTTTGCTCCACATATAAATTCTTTTTTATTTAAGCTTTTGGCGTCATTATACCCTATATTATTGGTGCTGTTTTGATGAATTAGTTTTAATTTTTTAGTCTGATTATTCCATGAATATTTATTTTGCATTGACAAAATTTAACTCTAAATTCTCTAAAGTTGACAGCAAAGTTTTGATATTAATCGATTCCTATCATGTAACAGCTTAAAGTTAGTTAGTTTTACAAATACATGCACATTATAATAGGCAGAGATCTACTGATTTTTCAAGGTTTTTGAGGGGCCAGAGAAGATGTACATAACACCTCACTTAGTTGTGAAATTTGAAAGTGTTAAAAACATAATTACCTTCGTAAACTTTAAGAAGAATATCGTCATTAATTTTTAGATATAAGGACCGGACATACCTTAAAAAATAAAATGATTATTACTAAATTAAGGACTAACAACACTGAAAAATAAAATTAATCAATTAAGGACATAACAACATAGAAAAACTCTTTTGTTTATTATATTTTTTTCATTTCTGACCATAGAATCTGTATATTTTGCACCTTCGTGGAAGTTTCATCTATCAACTTCAACAGATTTTTTGAGTTGGTTTGTGCGGCTGATATTTGGACGTATAACTCCTCACGAGCCTATATAATTGCATGGACTAGCACGAGGTAAGATGAATGTCACTGCATGATTTTTTGTCTTTACGTGCTGACGTGCTTTGTCGTTTCAACTTTTTGCTCTATGGAAATTCCTTGCTAGCTGATATGTTATATGGTCCTCCACGTGTTTTCTGACAATATATATATATATATATATAGAGAGAGAGAGAGAGATCAACAGACTACAAATTTTTTCGATGATGTTTTATAATAATGTTGTCAAGCCGTTTGCTAGGTGTGACAAGAAGTGGACCCCGCCATTCTTTTTTTTTTCCCTCCTCTCTCTCTCTCTACTTTTTTTTTTTTTTTTTTTTTTTTTTTTTTTTTTTTGTATATATCCATTCAATTAGCTGAATCTACGGCACTAATGCCTTTATAAAGTGAAATATTCATGTTAAAAAATAGCTGTTTTGATTTAGTTGTTTTAGTCAGTTCGCCAATATTATCCACAATTTGCAGGACACATATGACATTACTAGATTGAATTTGTTCATGTGGCTATTAAAGACATACTAGCTGGTAGATTTAAAGCAAAACATTTTGAATTTTCTTCACTCCGGAAGAAGATTCTTCTTTTTTCGGTAACGATTTCTTCATTTTTTGTTTTGGAGATATTTATCTTCCTTGTACAAATTCTCGAGTAAGAAAATCAGGAAGAGAATTATAGGCTTATTTAGTTCACTCATTCGAGTTGAGATTTGATTTTATGTGAGAACTTTTTATTATAACAAAAATATTAAATGTGACTGTTTGTGAGAGTTTTTTTACTGTAACAGAACTCGAATAAGTAAAATAAACGGGTCTATATATAGCATAGTATCAAAATAATCATTAGTTTTTTCTCCAGATGACAAATCACTATTATATATTTGTTTGCTTTAATCAATTTTTATATCGTAATTTTCATATCAATTTCGTTTGTTTTGATCAATTTTTGAATATCAATAATGGTAATTAAATAGATTTTTTACCATTTAAACATTGGTTTAAACTACGTCTAATGCTCAAAATAGTATTGTTCATGATGTAAACTAGTAGTAATTAATCAATACTCAGAAGACAGATATGATTATTTTATACATCAAATGTAACTGTCTGTTGGAGAACTACTCTGATCAACTATTGTTATCTCTGGTGACAACTGAAAATCTGGATGACGTCGACTTTGCCTGGCGGTTTATGTAAACAAACGACAATAGAAAGGACCACTTCGATTTTTGAAGTGCAATTTCCAGGAAGTTTCCTCAAAGAAAAGACCAAACAAGGTCGGCAGAAAGGTGACCCCACTTAGTTTGGATACATGCAAATTATTTCTGTTACTTATTTGTGTTTCGAATTGATGGAGAGAACTCTTGTATAGACGTGATAATTCGTGTTATTTTTAAGTCGTATCGTGACTCATATTATCAGCTTTATTTTTGTGTGTGCGCAATTGATTTTTGTCACGACATTCCATGTGCTTGGTGATAATAGCATCAGTGTCAATATGGCACTCTTTTGGTGGCTTCATGTACAATAGTTGTTTTTGTGTTACGGCCGTTTCATATCGTTGTCAATCATTTCCACAGTTTGACTACGAAATTAATATGTGCGATTATTAGTGACTACTGTACGTATGGACTACGGTTCTCCTTATTTCTCAAATGGGGCTGGCTGACATCACATTTAAATGTGGTTTCGGACGGTTGATATTATTGTTATATATATATATATAAATAATTGATGTAGGAGTACTGACGTAAACTATATTTCTCTTAAAAGTTGCAATTGATAAAATAGAAACAATCAAATTCAGTAAGATCGATTTTTATTAAATTTCATCCGATCCAATCCAATTATTAATGCATCATCTAAACTCAACCCAATTCGATATAGGACGATTTGAATTGGATTGGACCAATCGGTTTTGTGCTTAAGCTTTTCACTCATTTTTTTTCTTAAGTAGTTATATTTGCACTCCAAAAATTCATTAGTACCCCACCAATTAATAGTGCCCTAATAAAAATTTAAAAATCTATCTTTTGATAGATATAATTTTCATAATACATAATTTAACCCTCTCATACGCCAACTTAATTTTAATCTTCATTTGATATATAAAATAATATAATATTTTTCAACTATTAGTGTTTATTTTCTTTTTTAAATATTGTAATTCTATTTAGTTTTATTTATCAATTGTCTTGTCTTATCTCCTCCTTCTCCTCCTCCTCCTCCTCTTTCTCCACATCCTGTAGTCTGTTATCCGAACCGCCCATATGATTGGTGGTTTGGTTGTCAGTTCCGATGGTCAGTTAAACTGAACCCACTGACCATTGTTATACTTTAAAAAATAATAATAATAATTAATGAGTTTTGCAAATGTTAAGCATCAAACCTTAGATCTAGGAAATGCATGGGATGCAATTTTGCAATTCCTAGGAAACAATCCCTTGACCAAATGCAAATATTGAGGAACCTTTTCCCATCAAGCTATAAACTTTTTGATATCAGTTTTTAATTTCGATAATATTTACTACTGTTTTACGTCGGTTAAAATTCTGAAAATCCAAACTTATATAAAGGCTGTGAGTCCCTTCTTGACCTCATACATAATATTTTGAATGTCCTTTACCATGTGGACTTCCATCACAAATATTTTTCTAATTTTGACTACGTAAATAGTTAACAATAGAAAATGAAAAACAATTTATAAGCTGGTTAGTAGTCATACATATCTGGATATTTTGTTGCTCTTAAAGCATGGCTGGACGTTAGCCCTATATTGCTAATTAAAGTCCACGTGTTTGTTCGAAAAGTTTTGCCATCTTAAATATCATGAAGACTTACCGACTAAAAGAGAACCTTATTTGAATAATTTGGAATACACCACCAATATACTAGTATTGAAAGACCAAAAGATGTTTCCAACTGGAAGAAAAAAAGGAAAAAAAAAAAAAAATACTTCAAACTTTTTGCTTTTATTTTTTGATTTTTTTTTTCTATTCAGTTCTATATTTACGACGATAAATTTACATAATTTTTTTTTAAATAATGATTATATGTTTATATGATGATTTCGAATCTCATAGAAGAATACTTACATTAATTATGTTCAATTTTTTTCATCCACAAAATGCACGAGGATGAAATTGGAACAAAGTTTTCAAATGCAAAAGGCAACTTTTGTGGGTTCTAAAAATGGAAAAGATCAATTGAGAATGATTTCAAATCTTATAGAAAAATACTTATGATTTCAAATCTTATAGAAAAATACTTACATTAATTATGTTCAATATTTTTCATCCACAAAATGCACGAGGATGAAATTGGAACAAAGTTTTCAAATGCAAAAGGCAACTTTTGTGGGTTCTAAAAATAGAAAAGATCAATTGAAAAAAAAAAAAATTAAAGGTTATTAGCACTGTTAGTTCCTAAGTTATGAGTATCAATTTTTTAGTAATTTTAGTCTCTTACACTAAAATTGACAAAGATTTCTGTAATTTAACAAAGGTAATCATGTGTCTAGTGTATCATAACTTAAAATTTTATAGAAATAGGTAAAGTATGTGGAAAATGTTTTCTCCACTACTGTTAACACACATTGACATTAAAATATTGTATACTTTAATATAATTATTTATGAAAAAATTTCAGATATTATGCAATAAAGATATCTCCTCAATTTTAGTATTAGGGGCTAAAACTGTTAGACGAAATATGGATAATACAAAGAAGATCAAAACTATAGCAAGATCAAAAAGGAAATTTTACAATGCTAATTCAACCTTTCTAACTGGAATTGTATGAATGTCGAGGCACGCGAACCACGCTCTCCTTAAAACAGATTTGTCTCCTCCTTCGAGTGCTCGAGGTTACGTTGGACGTCCGTCTCCCAGGATGCAACGACAACGACGGTAGCTCGATGCACTATTGGAACCGTCCAGCGAACTAGAACCGGATCTTTCCTCTATCACCAAATCGAACAACAAGAACTACACAGAAATTTGGAAAACACAAGAGACGAGAGAGAGATGAGAATGCTCTGTGGAGGTGTCCTTGTTCATGTGGAGTATGGTCCTTATATAGGCTCCAAACTCTGGGTGTTACAACCCAGATTTAATCCCGGATTAATGGTGTTAAAAACAACCATTACTTTGCAATATTATGGAGCAAAACGGCCTGAATTCCCATGGATCTTTCCTCTATCACCAAAACCGAACAACAAGAACTACACAAAGAAATTTGGAAAACACAAGAGACGAGAGAGAGATGAGAATGCTCTGTGGAGGTGTCCTTATTCATGTGGAGTATGGTCCTTATATAGGCTCTAAAATCTGGGTGTTACAACCCAGATTTAATCCCGGATTAATGGTGTTAAAAATAGCCATTACTCTGCAATATTATGGAGCAAAACGGCCTAAATTCTCATGATGAATCCAGCCACACATTGCACATAGATTCAGTTTTTGATGATGGAAAACTAAAGCCTTAAAAGCGTATTAACCTTGGCTTAATTCGGTTTGCCCCCATTATACTCATTTACCAGCCATTAAGCATACCTTTATGCTAAGGCCAAACGGCTGGAAGCTGGAAGGTCTTGGCTGAAGCAAAAATAAAAATTGCAAAAGTAAGCTCGGAAGGAGCAGGTTTTTCGGTCCAGCAGTCGTGTCCGCACACATTAGGCCCCAAACCCGCCGGGACCGTGATTCACACCCCCCTGTGCGTGAGAGAGCCTCTCTAGTATACATGCTTACTTAGGCTTCAAAGTACAATCACTTATAAACACCACCTTGGCTTCACTCCTAGCCAATGTGAGATTTTTGTAATTTTCATCTACATTTACCATTCCAAGTGACATACTTAGACCATCAATTTCTCATTCACTCAAAATCCATTTTGAGTGTATGAATACTCGATTTCGATCTCCTCGCGGCGGAGAACGCAAATCCATCGAGACCCGTCCCAAAAACCTACTGGGCCCCATCCGAATATGGGCCTCAAAATGGGCCTTTAAAATGGCT